AAAGATCCCTAGCGAAATGGAAAAAGTCAACACTCGAAGCGTTAACGCCGTATTTATAAAGCTAAAAAGACAAACATAACATCAGTAAACCTCGAGTAATCCAAATCGTCCTCACTCACAAAATGCGACGCAACCCAGCTAGAGAACAACGCCCTCTGATACGCCTCCAGCAACCGCTTCAACAACGTCTCCAACCCAATCTTCTCAACCAGCGTCTTGGGTATCGCCCTCCTCATCACCCCATTCCGACTCGGAACATCCTCAAACAAATCCGAGCTCTCCAATTCGGCCTGGAGGTTGTTCAACGTCGACGACAGCTCATCCGAGATGGTCGTACGCGGTTTGGCTCCCTGCAGGCGCGTATGCTCTTTCCACAGGCAGTGGAATTCAGCAGCAGCGTTTTCGGTGATTTTTTCTTGGATATCCTTGACATAGCTCTGGTAGAATTCGGAAGGTTTGCCATTCTTGAAGATCATCAAGTCGACGTATTCTTGCGTTGAGAGAGCGAGACCGGCTAGGACTTCCAAGCAAGAACTCGTTACACCACCTGGATACAATGGATGAATAAGTTTTGCACTTGAGAGGAGAAATAAAACCAACTAACCTTTGTTGGTACTCGAATCTTTGAACACGACCACTTTACGCTTTTCGAGGAACAAACGGGCTTGTTGGGTGAGGAACAAGTTGGCGCCTTCTACGATGTACTTGAAGTGAGGTTTACCCTCGCTGTCGAAGAGTGCAGCCATGTTCGAGATGTTGACGGCTTCCGGTCTGAGTAATGATTAGGCGTTAGATAGACGACTTGAATACACTGAATAATCACATACCGTCCACCGCAAGGCACGAACAAGTCGGCTTTAAACCTCAAATGAGCTCCATTACGGAAATCAGTCCCGTCGAGAACAATTTCGCCCGCTACCCATAGCATTTCAGCCTTTGCTCATAAAAAGGAAAACACTTGAACAACGTACAAGGCAACTTGACATCCTGCTCCTCAACCTTCACCAAGTACCCATCCTTGCTCAACTTCGTCCTATCAAAGTTCGCCATGGTCAAACACTTTTTCGCCAGACGAACGAGTTCTTCGCGATCGAGCCCCGCGGGGTCAGCAAGAACACCACTTCCATCGATGATGGTGACGGTTCACAAAAGAGATCAACATTAGCCCGGGAATAACAAGCCAAAGAACGTATACTCACTCGATCCAAGATCCCCATCCGGTCCTCCCGTCTGCACTTTTGTAATCTCCTTCTCCTTCAACCCCAGCTGCTTATAGATACCCAACACATACTGCCTGATACTCAGCGAAGTCATACCATACGTGTCGTGTGGAACTCCACCGAGCGTCTCGGCACTCTTTCCAGTGGTGAAGGACTTCCACCATGTTTCGGCGCCTCGGTCGCGGGCGTGGAGTGCAGCCCAATCCATCATATCCGCGGTACCCTCTGCATAACAGATATAAGCAAAAGGCGAAAGCAGGGAAAGAACGTATCGACAAACCATCAAGACCAAAGAATAACAACTCTGGCTTTTCGTACAAGTCAACTAGGGTCTCCTTGATTCCGGGTGTTTTTCCTGGGATTAGCAGGTCGACGATTGCCTATGATAACGTAGTTGGTGAATATAAATAACTAAAAACCGCGGGCACACGTACATCAACATATTTCTCAAAACACAACCTCGGCGTAGCCCCGATCGAAGGCAATATCGTACCCTTGGCACCCCCCTCGGGAATATCTTTATTCTTCAACGACTGAGTCGAAGCCAAGTTGTAATTTTCGTCAAACCTAAAACACGTCGTCGTCAGTGTATGTACATCCACAGAGAGAGAGATAAAGAGAGAAACACGTACAACATCCTCTGATTAATCAAATACATCTCCTTATTCCTACTCATCACAATCCTAATCCCTCCCCTCGCCACATCCCTAAACCTAATATGGAACCCTCTAAACTCATTCCCAATAACGAAAAACATCGCAAATGGCTTTTTGGGATGCTCCACCTCGGGTAAGAACCCTGGATCCAAGCGGAAGGACAAGGCAACTTTCGTAGGTTGGTAGAAATTGGTTTTGAGGATGTGTTTGTTGAAGATGAGGAAGGATTCGAGGACTTGGAGGGAGTGCTTGTTGGGGACTGTGCGGCGGATTTTGTCGTAGAGCTTCTCGTCGGAGAGGGGTTGGATAGTTTGAAGGCGTTGATAAGAGAGGGTGGGCCTGGATAGCGTACCGGTTAGAAATACACGTTGAATAAAGGAGCGTACACATACATCAGTTCGGTAGTATGATCAGATGCGGGGTAATGAACCATAGTAAAGTTGACATAAAGAAGTCGAATCTGAAAACCCAATGAGCACCCATAGGATAAAGGAACGCTTATAGACCTACCAGCTCCGAATGAGTATGAATAACCTGTTCAATACTCTCCCTCGTAAACGTCTCCTCCCTAAACCTCCTTTTGATATTCGTTCAACACTTCAGCATGCGCAGGGTTGTTCTCGTCCAAGACGTTTTTGAGCTGCAAGTAGGCCGGGCCGAGCCTGTTGCAAAAGTGTTGTGCAAAGATCCAGCCACAGTCTATAACGATACAACCTTGTCAGCACAGCGATATGCAAAGAAAAGAGAGGGTATTCTTACGAGTGTACGTAGCCTACTGGACAGCATGCATACCTGGAGCCTTTGGGAGGAGAAGAACGGGTTTTCGGGAAGACAGTACAGAAGCGAAGCCTCCTTCATGACCTGGAAGATGGAGTGTTCGATCGGCGGGGCGTGGGAGTTTGGAACAGGGTTGAGGTACAAGGAGATGATGGTGACGCCGTTAGAAAACTGTTCCACGCATTTGCGCGCAGAATCGAGAGAGTAAAAGTGGTAGAGATTGGAGAGGGCACTATTATAGAGGTTAGTAGATGAAGATAGATGGATGATGACGCGTACCTAAAGAAGGTGGTAGTCCCGCCCATCTTGTTTCCGATAACAATACGTCTCTCTCTCGAGCCTTCGACTTCGAAAGCCTCCATGACGGGACCGTACCGTTGCTCAACGCTCCGCATAATCTAGAATCTGGCTGAGTCGCTGAACGAGCTAGTGAAGCTCTTTCATACCTTTTGGTAGATCTCAAGCGTGTTCTCGCTGGCCTTTTCCAAAAAGCCCTTGTCAGACACGCTGTTGATGTTTGTCCTGCGCTCTGCGTCCTTTGTGGCAGGCGTGTCTGTAAAGAAACACTTGTCGATGAAATAACATCTGAGCTACTGAGAGGCAGTCGCGGAGATGGACCCAGTGGCACACAAGTCTCGAGTCTGCTTGGGCTTTGAGTTATCGAGGGACAGAATGTCGATTCTAGATTCCAATTAATGAACGTTGGAGATGCCGTACAGAACGTGGGCTTACCTCGACTCGCACGCAGCGCCATGGCCCTCAGTAGTACATAGTAATACCTGTGGACTGGTATGAATAACAGTCGCGCCATTTCCGGTCTTGTCAATCTTCTTGAGATCGATAACGAGCTTGCTCGGATCGTGCTTCGTGTACGCGAGCACTTTGGCGCAATGATGTGGTCACAGGGAGACTCGTCGCGGAAATAAGTGTCATCAATGCCGAGATTGGTGTAAAACCAGTTGACTTCGTTGGCGACAAGTTCTTGCGGGATAAAGCCCTACAAACCATGATTAAATCTTAATCGATATTAGATCCAGCTCTACAATCACCTTTGCTGCAATTTCTTGCTAAACAAGGGCTCGCTTTTCTTGGCGTCGTATGGCCAGGCAAGTTCTTGACTCGATTGAGCAAGCCATCGCTGTTATTTCTAGCCACAGAGCCTAACACAATACAAGTTTCCTCTGCAGCGGTTTTTTTTGGCTTTGTTGGTCGAGACGCGCTCCTGACAGTCTCTTGCTCAACCAATCAAGTAGGATCGTTGAGAAGGAAAAGTGTCTACTCAGTAAGTAATTGCTTGATCTACTGTTTAGTCTGAGCCACTGAGCCTCTTCAATCATATATCTGGGCTATCGCTCTCGTTCTCGGGATTCTATTTCTGCTAGCGTGCAGCACAGGCATCGAGCATGCGGGATTCTTTCTGCCCATTTACACACTCAACCTCTCGCAAACTCCGCAGGGTCGACCATGCGAGGGACAAGCAAGCTTGGTGAATTCTATAGCCTCATCCTTCCAGCTATCTCTTCCGATCCGAAATCCCTTGCACTGATGCCAGGATATGCTCCCATACATATCTACTAAACTTTTACCTCCACGGATCGCATCCCGTCAAGCTTCAACATATTTAATACTGTCAAATCCACCTAATGGGTCTACTGGTCGATTCGGAAAAGATGGATGGATGGCTGCTCGTACTTGGAAATAAACGAAGAGTGATACTGAAGCAAAGGTGTGTCCGCGGACGGTCTACTGTATTGACAGAATCTCTAACTTTTTTGTACCAGTGACACTAACGCAAGTCTGAGCGCTCAACTCTTGGAATTGTTCGTCACGATTCTTGGTCTCTCAACGGAAACCGCGACCGCTGTAACGGATGCAACAGCGCCCTTGCAATTCCGACCATACTTGAAAAGCATTCCATTTTGCGCTTCGGCCTTTCCTTCCTATGCTCCCTAGTTAGCATACGGATTAAATCTCAACGTAGTCTGGCTTCTCTGGCGACGCGTCATTCTATTCTTGTGATAAATGGTTTCTTTGTTTCCACTGTCTTCGCATGGGAGAAGACGTGCTACTCTAATGGTCTAGCAGTGCTTCGGGTACTGTGAATCGGGATACTAGTTGTGTAGTCATGAGTAGGAGACGGAGAAGACGAGGGAGATCTGGGAATCCGACCACTCACTCTATCTTCCAGTGCCATCGCCATCTTTCCCATTATTCAAAACATACAGATTCCTCCTCAAACCCTTCCTTCCTTCTTCCCCACTCCCTCTCTTTCTCTTTGAGCTAGTGGTTGTAGTACCAAATAAATTTTTATTTAATACGCTTCAAAGTGAAGAGCACATCGTAAGTAGGGCATGTAGCCAAGAGGTTATTGCGTTCACTTTGCATGTTCATCCCCGGTTCGAATCCGGGCTTGTCCATGCAGACGCGTTCTCCTTTATTTTGGTCAACATTTTGTCCCTGACACCCAATGTCAAGTCTCGATTAAAAGTGTTTTGCATCGAAGCTCCCACATGGAAAGATGGTATGGGACGCAATTTTTGGTAGGGTGCATCTCAAAGGCTTAATTTGGATGATTCAGAATAGGTGGCGGATTGGAGTGGGCGGGGACAAGGGAAACGGGGTCCGAACAATGACAATGATGCCAATACTATACATGTGTTGTGGAATGAGCAGTAGGAGGGGAGATGAACAGTTTTAGGAAAGCTCAAACAAGCTAACGGTTTAATTTAGCTAGATCCTCTGATAAGGAACAATTTCTGGAAACGAGATGTGCACCAGCTAAGAAATTCTATGAGAGCAAAGAACATTGGTGTTGATATAACTCTGCGAATCTTTATCCCTATTCCTCAGATATCCTCCATTGGCATATGCGCAATGATATTCGTTGTATTCAGTGTACCGAGTGCACGAAACCACTGAAGCGATGTGAAACAAAACGGAACGAAATCTCTGCTTGCAGCAGAGGCAGTAAGGGTTTAGGCTCGCGATTTGTAAAACCGACAAGACGCAAATACATCAGTACGAAGGTATGGTTTCCTATATCTGCTCATGTCAATAGTCTCAAAATTTTCTTCCCACAGTACAGGAACAGCGAGATCGTATATTACATACGTTAAAGGGGAGATCAACACTCCCTGCATGGCACAGAAAGAGATTGAGCCCTTGGCGTAGAGATGCCGGCTTTGAGCCTTTTGGGTTTCTGGGAAATCTGCTATATGTCAAGCCAGAGACAGGCAGGTCGCGTTATGACTTGAATCGACCTCAGGTCTTCTTTTAAAAAGGCCTATATAGAGAGAAATTCTATCGGCGAAAAGGTTGTCAAAGATACAGCGTATGAGCTCGTTCGGCAGAGATTCCACTGTCATCGTTGATCGTAAGCAGGAACGGTTTGGGCGCTTACAGTTGGTAGAGAGCGCTTTGGCCTTAAGAGAGCCGTGTAGCACCATGCGTTTGAAAAGTTCAGCTTCCTAACAGTCAGTACTACGTATCATGCAGAGAAGGATACCGTCTTCATTTTCATTATAGAGTACAATATCTGTATGTAAGTCACACTACACCCATGCCCATTCCCATTCCACTTTAACTTCTATTCCATTGTGCGCGCGCGCTCCTACTTTACTTGGAAAGATCCCTAGCAAATGGAAAAAATGTACACTCAAAGCGTTAACGCCATATTTATAAATCTAAAAAAAACATAACACGAGTAAGCCTTGAGCTTGAGCAATCCAAGTCGTCCACTCACAAAGTGCGATGTAACTCAGCTAGAGAACAACGCCCTCTGATACGCCTCCGGCAACCACCTCAATAACGTCCCTAACCGAATCTTCTCAACCAGCGTCTTGGGTATCGGCCCCCTCATCACCCTATTCCTACTACTCTGACTATCCTCAAACAAATCCGAACTCTCCAACTCGGCCTAGAGGTTGTTCAGCGTCGACGAAAGCCCTAAACCTAATATAGAACCCTCTAAACTCATTCCCAATAATGAAAAAACATCGCAAAGGATATTCCACCTTCGGTAAAAGCCATGGATCCAAGCGGAAGGATAGAGCGACCTTTGTGAATTGGTAGAAATTGGTTTCGAAGGGAGGGAATGTGCGGCGGATTTTATCGTAGAGCTCCTCGTCGGAGAGGGGTTGGATAGTTTGGAGGCGTTGATAAGAGAGGGTGAGCCTACACAGATAACGGTTAGGAACGCACATCGAAGAAATGAAAGCGGAAACGTATACACACATCAATTCAGTAGCATGGTCAGATGTGGGGCAGTGAATCATGGCAAAGTTGACATAAAGAAGTCGACTCTGCAAGCAAGATAAATGCACCAGTACAATAACAGAACGCTCACAGACCTACCAGGTCTGAATGATTATGGATAGTCCGCCCCTCGTAAACATCTCCGACCTAAAACTCCTCTTGATATTGGTCAGCACTCTGCATGCGCAGGGTCCTTCTCGTCCAGGGCGTTTTTGAGCCGCCAGGATGCCGAGCCGAGCCTACTGCAAGTGTTGAGCAAAGATCCACTAGCGACACGATCTTGTCAGCACAGCAAAGAGAAAGAGAGAGGGATTCTCACAAGCGTACGTAGCCTCCTGGACGGCATGTGTACCAAGGGCCGTTGAGGAAGAACAGGTTTTTGGGAAGCAGTACAGACGCGAAGCCTTCTTCATGACCTGGAAGATGGAGTGTTCGATCGGTGGGAGTTTGGAACAGGATTTATGTGCAAGGAGTTGACAGTGACACCGTTGGAGCAATTGGAGAACTATTCCACGTTTTTGTAAACAGAGAGAGTAAAAGTGGAAGAGACTGGAGAGGGTACTGGTATAGAGGTTAGTAGATAGAGATAGGCTGGAGGTAACGCGTACATAAAGAAAGTGGTAGTTCCGCCCATCGTGTATCCGATGACCCTCTCGAGCCTTCGACTTCGAATACCTCCATTGTGGGTCCGTACCGTTGCTCAACGTCTCGCATGACCTAGCATTGAGCTGCTGAATGTGAGCGAGCAAGCGATGCACCAGGAGGCATCTGCGCCGAAATTGGACCCGGACCAACCCAATGAAGACAAAGATGTGAATGCTGAAGCAGGATAAAGATGCTGAAGAGTAAGAGGTGATAGAGGCATTGCCATCCCATGCCCAAAGGACTAGCATCTGAGAGACAGGTTGGATATGGTAGCGAAACAACCAACGCACCCTCCACCAGGAATAGTATAAACACAAAACGAGAGGTAGAATAGAGATTTACAATAACGATCAATGCTCCTGGATAGAGAAACGCGACGTTAGAAAATAATAAACACATACTCGACAACCACTCGACTCTGTAGCTGCCTTTGTTCGGACGCTGAGATCAGGAAATATGAAAAACCGGCGTTTTCGTTGTTTGACTGCGAGTTTTTGAGGTGAAAGAAGGAAAAAATCACGGAGATCGTGTTCGATTGTCCTAGAAAGCGTAACATGGTTGGAAATCGTCCGTATGTTTCCAGAAGAGCAGGTCGCAGTACGAGATCAAATAGAGTCTTCATCTTCAACATCGATCCTTCTCGATCTTCACCAGATTCCTTCTTACGGACATCGACGACGAAAAGATGGTGAACGCTGAGATATGGAAGTGAATTGGTGACAAAGACGGATCGATTTCGGGCAGACTCTCGCAAGCAAGCTTGCTATATAGTGAGAACCGGGCTGCGGCTAGAGAAAGTGGAACAACAATTAGGCTCTTGCAGTCCAATATCGTGGCCGACACTTATACACCGGACCGCAACGACACACTTCGCGCTTCTATGACTGAACTTTAACATACACATGTCACTACATAAGATGAATGCTGTTTGTTCCAGAATCGTTTGCGACCCCCCATCATCTATCTCCCTGCAACACAAAAATTGCTATGGATCGAAACAGTTGTCTCGGAATTTGTCTTCCTAGATTCTTGAAGCGTAACAAAGACAAAAGTC